AAACACAAGAATGAGAGTGAGTTTGTAAACACGTGCCTTACATTACGTCATCTTAAATTGTTACTCCCATCAATCGACATAGCACTCATTCATCGACCATCATTGATGTGATACGTCACATCCTAAAAGCATACTGACCCTGATGGAACAAGTGACCATCTAATCGTTCACCAATCATTCCAGTGCAAACTTAAACGTCTCGCAAAAGCTAACAAAATGCTTACACTTTATGAAAAAGGAGATAATCAAATTATGAACAGGGAGCATTCTGGCATTCTTTAAAAGTTGACTTCTCGTCCCGTTCCGTTGAAGCGAAGTGGTCCCTTTTTTAAAACAGAAATGCACAGACTTATTAAAAGTGTTATCCCACAGTTTCCACTGAAAGGCGTGCAACGTCACCTTGGTTTTACCTTAAGCTGAAAAGGCTGAAGAAAACAAAATGGCAATTCGAGCAAGCAAAACTTCTGACGACTCGCGTGCATGGGCAAAATATCGCACTACAGCCAAGGCATGCGACGCTGCCCTAGCCCAGACGAAGCTCCCTTTTTTTTATTTAACTCTGCCAAATTTTAGCTTATTAATCCAAAACAACTTTGGAATATTACCAATCTGGAACAGCGCAGATCCTCCGTATATCTCGACAACGGTAACGCCATTGCGTTTGTCGCAATGACGGACACCCTAAATTGCGTGTTTTGCTCTGTTTTCACCCAAAAAAGTTTTTTAATCACCTTCCTCAATTTACGCTCCTAAATCACCCCATTATGCCTGAGATCATAATTTCACCTGAAGGGGGTTGTCAAAATAATTGACTCACAAAACGTAACTTCATCTGCTGGACCCGATGGATGTATCAACTCTAAAGTGTTAAAAAAACCAAGTGAATAACCAGTGTAATTCTGTCTCATGTTTTTCAACAGTCATTCTCATGCAGCACCCTGCCACATGATTGAAAGTTAGGTAAGATTGTTCAAGGCCCCTCGACCTACCGCCCTATCTCTAACCAGTCTCTGCTCTAAAATTATGAAACATATCATCTATACCCATACTGTCAATTTTCTGAACTCTGTGAATTTTTTCGATCAAGGTTAACATGGGTTTCCAAAACTTTCCTGCGAAATCTATGTTATACTATTCCTCCACGATATGGACATTGAACTTTATTGTAACATACTTACCGACGCCCTTCCCATTGGTTTAAAAAAAAATTCGATAAGGTGCCACATAAACGCTTGCAATTAAACTTTCACGGCTTCACTTACATGTCCTTGTTTTTCGTTGGGTGAAGGAGTTCCTCAATATTCGACAGCTATTTGTGCATGTAAATAATTCATCCTTAATACTGAATTCCCTGTCTTATCAGGAGTCCCACAAGGTACTGTATTGGGTCTCCTCCTTTTCGCTGACATCAACGATCTGCCCATTAACATTCATTCAGACATACGCCTGTTCACCGACGGCTGCGTCATTTATCGCCAGATAATCAACTTCACCGATAACCTACTGCTCCAAAACAATTTATCAAGTTAAATAAATGGTGCAGTGACTGGTTAATAGTGGTGAATACTAACAAACACCCCTCGTTTCTTTTAATAGACGGCATGACTACCCGGTACTCAAATATTTTCTTAACGGCAGCGTCATTTCCTCACAACCTAGTACTAATTACTTAAGTATTACTCTCCGTAACGACCTCACTTGGGCCACTCACACAACCAATATTCTAATGCCACTAACCGCATTTAGGCTATCTTAAGCGAAATCTAACACATGATCTCCTCCGGCGAAATCACTAGCTTTAAAATAATAATTCAACCCAAGTTAGAGTATGCTTCTTCCCATAAGTGTACTGCGCAAAAAAAACGGACGGAAACACGACGTACAGAAAAAGGACAGACAAGCGCAGCCTATCGACTGAAGCTTTTTTGCAAGACCGAGGCAGTATTTCTAAAAGTTAATTCGAGCGCGAACACACGACACGATCGCTCACACAGGCACACACCCAGACATCAAACACACACAGCGCGTGTGCGATTGATCGTGTCGTGTGTACGCGCTCAAATTAACTTTTAAAAATATTGTATCGACTAGCCCAACAACAAGTTCTTTTACAAGGCAGTATATGAAGAAACAAATAAAAAGCAAGAGAAGGCAAAGGGGGAGGAGAAAAAGGCACGAGGGAACAAGCCAACAACACCAGGGCAACATCAGAAATAGCATGAGCATCATGCAAAACCTAGATAGCTCAACTCCTTATCGTGTATGGTCACAGAGGGAACCCAGACGCACGACTCGGACATCTTGTGAATATGCGCAGCCTCAAAGGCTCGCACACTCTGGTTTTTATGCCCAAACAGCACAGAAGTGTCATCAAAGAGCGGCACACAGCTGCATTCTCTACAGTGGGCTGCTAAATGAATGCTGGAGTCGCCTTTCAGAGAATCAAAATGTTCTCGAAGTATAACATTTATACAGCGACCTGTCTGACCCACGTATATACGATTACATGACAAGGGAATGGAGTAGACATCACCGATGATACATGATGCATTATATACAAATATGACTAACATTTCATGTACCTTGCTGAACATATATGCGATCAACGACTCGCTTATCTACATTGGCACATAAGGTGGATAACCCTTTCCTGGAAGAAATAACCACTCGGACGTTATATCTTGATGCCATCTTTTTGAGGCGGTGAGTAAAACCGCTAACACATGAAAAAATCAGCAAATTTCTTATGCTTCGCCTTCTCATCCAAGTTGAAACCAACACCAGGGCCTGTTTTTATTTTCTTTATCAACTTTTCGCAGATCTTTAACAATGCATCTCGTAGGAAGCCTGCGTGTCTAAGTTTCTGCACCTGCCCAGAAAAACTTTTTTTTCAGCTGAATGAGTGCAGGATTTCTTCAGTGCATCGCTAAAACAAAAGAGTGCAATCGGATGTTTAACCAGTTTCGTATGGCCCGGTTTATAGTTCAGCACACGTTTCTCAGACCGAGGGGTGTAGCACCAACACACATGCGTGGGCGAGAACTGTAGCTGAAGGTCCAATGATTGGATACATTGGTCCTTCAAGTAGTCCGAAGTGAACTTCTGGCCAAGACCACACTCCTCAAAACTTTTTAAAATAGCCACTGACAAATATCTAGTTCCCTTACGAAAAAAACGATGCAGTCATCGATATAATGAAAAAACTCTGATTACTGAAGCCTGTGAAAAAAGTTGGAGCGCCCGATCAACTCAGAAAAATATCGCTTAAAACCAGTGTCACCCTAGACCCAATACATACACTTTTTTTCTGCAGGTACGCCTCACCTTGGCAAAAAATGAATAAAGTCCCCTGGTAAAAGAACAAAAGTTCTGTGAAAGATTGAACTGGCATGCCACTTGGACCGTTCGTGCACTGTGATGTTTCCCAGGTTTTGTTGATTTGGCCCCTCGTGCCTTTTTCTCCTCCCCCTTTGCCCTCCCTTGCTTTTTATTATTTCCTTTTTATATTGCCTCGCTCTTGCAATGAAGCTTCAGTTGATGGTCTGCGCATCCCGGCTGCGGCGGCTGCATTTCTGATGGAGGCGGAAATGTTGTAGGCCCATGTGCTCAGATTTGGGTGCACGTTAAAGAACCCCAGGTGGTCAAATTTTCCGAAGCCCTCCACTACGGTGTCTCTCATAATCATAGCGTAGTTTTGGGACGTTAAACCCCACAGATCAATTCATTGATAGTCTGCGGTTATTTGTCCTTTTCTTCTACTTCGGGTTTACGTCTGTTTTTTGCGCAGTACACTTATGGATCAGTACCAAATTGCCCAAGTAGCCAATCTTTTATGCTTCTTCCGTCTGGGATCCTTCTGAATGCATTCTATCCGATCTAATAGAATTAGTACAAAACCGCCCCGTTGTATTTATTTATTTTGATTATTGATATACTACCTGTGTAACTTGCCTAAAGAAAAGGTAGCTCTGCTAGTCTTCAGACACGGAACAAAATTGCAAGGCTGTCACTCGTTCATAAGTTTTTCATGTTCTGCGTAACTGTTCGTCAATGAATCCAGCTCATCGCATCTCTCAACACATCAGCCCTAATAAAGCCGTATACCCTCCCCATGCCCGCACTGCCACGCATTTGAAATTATTCTTTGTGAAGACTGCCATCGATTGGAACCCGTCAGACATCGTTTTTCCCACCAAACATGCTCATTTCAGCAGCTCCGTTGAGGCCCATTTTGTAAATATTACCTTGTTTGTTTCTCCCACTCCTCATGTAAAACCCTGTGTATCCTCGGGGTATTTTTGACCAATACATAAATATGTTTTCTTCACCATGTCACTGCACGTCATGTGTTCACGCATGCGCGAAAACGTCTTCTTTTTTCGTTTCTTAGGCTCCTAATAAACAGTTGGCAGTTCGGCACTTCACATTCGTCTTCCTATTTTTTTTCACGAAATATATTTTGCGCCACCGTCAAGCGTAGCTAAGCAATGTAGAGCACTAACCGACCCAAAAACTTTAGGCAAATACCATTCGGCAGCTCGCGCTCAAGTCTTCTGTTTCTTCGCCGGTGTAGTGTCTACTTAGTGCAACTTCAACGATAAACAGCAATAATAAAAATAAACTTGACAAGTTAAAAATAATTTCGACAGCAATACGCGCATGCTTTCACACTGCAACCAATATATGACTAACACTAAAATGACACTATTTATCCCACTGATAAGGATAGTATTCTATTTATCGCTAGGTTTCACTGCATTGACTGATTGCGCACAAGTTTGCTGATGTTTTGTTTGCTCTAAATGATCTTCGTCTCACGAGTAGTGGATATCGTCCGTCAGCGCTAACGCACATCAGACGAGCCACAAACACATTGCAAAGAAGAATTTTCTGTAGATATCTGAACTCATTTGTTATCGCGATATGCACAGCGGTGCGTTACCGCACTCGGTTCGTGGCCCCAAGGCCAGTGGATGGGACGCGTGGCAGAAGCAGCTCACCTTTGCGACGGCGGTCAGAGAGGCCGGCATCCTCCTCGGCAGTTCGCGCTCGACTGGCTTCCTTCCGCCTTCCTCCGAGCAGTGTCGCTCCGACTGACCTCCGTCGGGCCGGCGGCTCATCATCGTTTCTGGAGAGCAATGGCGCACGCTGCGGCTGCTGCCTCGCGCCTGCCAAACGTGTGTGTATTCTTTCTTTCAACGTACTATGAAAAATTTTAATTTTCTTCAAACGCTTACATTTATCGATACCTGGCCAGCGTTGGCCAAAGTGAAATTATTCCACCGCATATATCGACACCGACGTGGCTGGGGGAGTCACAGTGATTGATAAAGGTGCTGTAAATATTAAGCAACAGATCATAACAGCTTGTTACTGAAACATCACAATAAATCTGTTACGTTTGGGTGGTTTATACTTCTGATTCGCGGGCAGACTAAAGTCTTTTACGGCCCATTTGCACTGAAACATACGGTGGCAGTGCCGGAAAAACTCTTTCCGCACCGATCGTACCGAATTTTGCGGCACCTGCCATCGGATTGCCTCATTGATTGATTTGTGGCGTTTAACGTCCCAAAACGACCATATGATTATGAGAGACGCCGTAGTGAAGGGCTTCGGAAATTTCGACCACCTGGGGTTCTTTAACGTGCACCTAAATCTGAGTATACGGGCCTACAACATTTCCGCCTCCATCGAAAATGCAGCCGCCAGAGCCGGAATTTGATCCCGCGACCTGCGGGTCAGCAGCTGAGTACCTTAGCCACTTGACCACCGTTGCGGGGCGTCAGATTTTCTCACTGTAAACCAATCGGAGCACTAGTCACACAATCAAAAAATCACAGTGAGCTGGTGATGTCTTTGTCGTCGGAGCCCGTAACGACAACCAAGTCTTTCATAATGATCGTTACATAAAGAATGCTTTTGACATCGTTCAGTGCTCGAGAACGAAAACGCAACTACTGTTGTCTGAAGTAACATTATTAATCTTTGCTAAACACGATGTTACCATGTGGCATAATTAATGACATTATCATGGTGCGACCAAGCTTATCGCGGTTTTCAAATCAAAATGAACGAACCAGCCCAGCTGCTCCGCCGCAGTAGTCCCGTGGCTGTGGTACTCGGCTGCTCGGACCCTCAGGTGGCGGGATCGAATCTCGGCTGAGTTGGCTGCATTTTCGATGGAGGCGAAAATGCTGTAGGTCTGCGTGCTCAGATCTCGGTGTACGTTAATGAACTCCAGGTGGTCGACATTTCCGGAGCCCTTCACTACGGCGTATCTCATAATCATATGATGGTTGTGGGATCTTGAACCCCACTCATCAATCAACCAGCCCAGCTCGCAGCATTTCTTTTTCGTTAAATGCATGTTCCTACTCGTCAAACGTCACCAGATAATTGCTTTCCAGTTGTTGGATGAGTCTGCTCCTGTTCTGTGGTTCGCGGTGACGTAGGGTGACTCCATGCCAGCGATCGGTCCTTCGCACGAAGAGGCCGTGTGAACGGAACTTGGGCGGCACGAGCGTTTCGGTCACTGTGGAAGGCGGATCACTCATTGTGAACAATCTTCCAGATAAAAGGACAAGAGGTTCGTTCACAGTGATAACGAATTACCTCAGTTAATATGAGGTATGCAAAGTGGAGGTTCGGGCTTGAACCCGGGCCGACGCCTGAGTGCTGCAATAAAGCGTCTCTTCACCACACTACGGCTCTTCCTCCACGCTGCCACCGAGCACTCGAGTCAACGAGGGGCAACCATTCCGAACCTCAAACACCTTTCCTCCTTAACTAGTGTAGAAAGTAGCCGAAAAGTAGGAAATTAAATGGAGCAGTGGATTGGAGAGCCTGCAAGAAAGATGCTAAAGCCCGGGGAAGCTGACAAGACGCTCACAGGACCTGCTGGCGAGCTGCGAGAAGTAGCATGAAGGAACTCTCTGCTTAAGGACCTGTTGATGCGCTGCGAGAGGCAGCATTGGCACTCTGGACGAGCCTGCTGATCAACTTTGGAGCCAGGAGTTGGGCAGCGCTTGAGCGCTGCGCGTCAGTACACGAGAGGAGGGACAGTCGACGCGGCTGACTTCAGACAACGACAGGGGCGTTCTGGTGGATCACCCGGAGCATCAAAGGATTCATGCCAAACAGCGATGGCACTGAGACGGACGCTATTCCAACTGACAAGAGAGAGAAAACATTTTATGAACTACATATAAGCAAAGTATGTGGGAGGGAACCCTAATCCGTGTTCCCTATTATAATCTCGGCGGCCAACCGGGCCCGTTTACCCAAGGCCTGGCAGACCTCGTCGCGGAGGGCATAATCCCACAGCTCTTTGGTGCGGAAGGGACGCAGGATAGCGGGAAGGGGAGAAAATAATTTTGTGGCGCACTTCACCGTGAAATAAAATACTGTTGGGGAGCTGCCACAGCCCGGGTAAGAGTCTGCGTAGCGGTCAGGGTACAATTTATGCATGAAGAGGAGGCTGGGAAACGCGTTTAGAATTGGCGGAGTGCCACCTCTTCCTTTCGCGAGAACGACCGTGAGGGCGGGTGCATGGTGTGTCTAGCTCTGGTGCAATATGCCAATATATCTCGGTATGTAAGTTGAGGGCCCACTTGATCTGGACTTCCGGCCTCGCCATGCCCAGCGGCTAGTTCATCGGGCGACGCATCACAACAAGGTGAGGCCTGCTTTGTGCTCTCCTACCCCCCCCCCCCCTTTTTTTATTTTTACTGAATGCACTTGCGTTCAGACACATTCTGGGAGATGGTGGGTACAGATATAAATGTGATGGAAGGTAACAGTGTGAAATAATCTGATCGCACCGACGAGTTGATGCTTGAGATTGAAGCTCTATAGCTCAAACTTGAGCTATAGATGAAGAGGTCGTCGCGTGCTTCATCAGAAGAGCCGGAACACCGGAACCAGCTAACTCGTATCGGGCGGTACGCGAAAGAGCTGAAAGCAGTTCTAGCACCCATGCCCACTAATGAGCCGACGATTCCCGCTTGGTTGAAAAATGTGAACGCTCACTTTACGGCATTGAGCACACCCGAGAAAATTCAGGGCTACTACCATTATTTAGTGAGAAGATGCGTACATTTGTTGCCAATCAATCAGAGGCTTGGGTAATGCCATACTCAGATTTAAAATAAAGAGTGCTAAAGCAGCTGCAGATGACTCCAAGCTAGTACCGCCGAATTTTCTGCAAGTTAAAAGAGAGGCAGGCGAGTATTGAACCCAAGTGAAAGCGCGCCTGTAGATTATGTTGACTTACTACCTTAGGAGTAGAGAGGGGTAGTCATTTGAAGGTCCTCAGGAGTCGCTTATATAGGGGACAGGCTAGAGCAGTTAATGCCGAGTGTTCTCCGCTCACAGGTCACTCAGCAGGAAGTAAAGGGCTGGTTGAAGCCTAAGAATATTGCGGATTTACATCCGCAATATTCTTAGCCGCCAATTTTGAAGAGAGCGTCAACAGTGGCAGTCAGGGCAGTTGCCACGGTATGGCATCAAGAAATTTCAATTATAGGCCGCAAGACAAACGATTTGCTTACGCGAATTTCAGCCCTAATTCAGAAGCGTGTTTTGTCTGCTGGAAACAGGGCCACTTTCTGAGAGATTGCAAGTTCTCACGGGACACTGATGCTAATAAAGCAGAAGTTTTATGCGTAGCTCCCCAGATTGCTCGGTCATTTGAGAGCCAAGACACACCGTCGCGACACACTTCCGTTATGAAAAACTTACTGATAAGGGATTTGCGGATTGAGATCCTCGTAGGAAACAAGCTGTCTTTTGCACGCATTGACTCAGGTGCGGATGTCGTGGTACGAGTGAATGAAGTACCGCTGAAATTTTAGGTCAGTGTAGTGACACAATAAGGCTAACAGACTTTTCTGGACATAGGGTTACCGCTCGTCTGCTGTATGTATACCTATCGGTCTTCCAACCTCGTCAGGAAGCACTGTTCAGCCTGTGAAATCGCGATGCGTAGTGATTGACCAACTAACTACGAGCGTGTCCGTATTGCTTACTCCAGCAGATTACGACTGACTACGTCATCATCGGCAAAAGCTACTGGGTAATCTAAAGGAGTGCGGTGCGAAGGTGAACCGTGTACGACAGCATATTCGACAGAAGCTATATTCACCATTGAGAGAGCCAGAGCATGTTTCTCGAGCTTCTAGCTCTACCGCTTACGCAGTTTCGCCCACAATGGAGAAACAGGACGGCCGAGCAAGGAAGCCGCGAATCACTAATGCCACGTTACTTGTTGAGTAGTGACAGTTGGAAGTCGTGCTTTGGATGCGGCAGCTACTACTGAGGACAGCGAGCGGCTGAGGCGATTCGGTGGAAGTCTTTTCGAAGGAGAACGGAAACCAGAAGGGCCACTGGTCGTTGTGCGGCGTCAGGTGAAAGAGGGGTCGCACTTCAAGGTAACTGATAAACAGCTACTCTCTCATAGCGAGCAGTTAGACGAGAAGCAGTGCCACCGGCCAGTAAAAATAAAGTCACGCCAAACCAAACGGTTAGCGCACGACAGTTCTTGCGATGGTAACTTCTCGGGAAAGAAAACAAGGAAGCGCGTCGGAGCGTACTTTGCGATAAAGCGTCGGGATTCGATGCTGAAAAGAGTGGGTTGTACGCTTGCGTATTCTCCGTTCAAAAGAAAAAGTGGGCAGGACAGGACCATCACGTGTGCGACTCAAGTGTTAATTGGAGCCGCAAGCTCTCTCTAACTACTGGATTTGCTGAAGGTAACTTTGTTTCGGGATCTTCATTTAGGTTTGAGACAGTTTTCTTGCGTAAATTCCGTGAATGCGGTATTATTTTAGTAACCAGTTTTTCGTTTTTTTTTATTTAGTGTATAGGTATTGCGTGGTATACGACGGGTCGTGACGTTGTGAAAAGCTCTTGGTGGAAAGTCAGTTATTTATCGGAAACGGAAGTTCAAGAGTGTCGAACACTCTGACGTGGAACTCGTAATCATAGGTTGCGTTTGATTAAGTTAAAGAGGCGCTTGCGTCAATTCCTGGGTTAGTAATACCGCACCCCAGCGAAGTGTTCT